AGAGAGAGAGAGAGAGAAATGTGTAAGCAAATAGCTTTACTGCTGTATTGCATAGGCCTATGACTGTATGTTGTCACGTCACAACTTCTCTCCGGTACTTCATCATTGTCAGGAAGGAAAGTCTAGTACCTCACTGAGTAATGCTGTATGTCACTTCCTGTGATGAAAAGTGGAAAGCAGAGGCCTGGGAGAACTCTCGATTTCTTTTACCGACAGGTTGATTAACTACATCAGTGGTCCAATACAAACATTTATATGAGTTATTTATAGAGACAAACTAAAACACAATTATTCCATCACACACACACACACACGCTCTAAAAACCCAAGCACTTTCCAGGATTTAGCAATATAAAGTAAAATCATGTCAGGTGTGGTGCTGGGTTTTGGGCATGATTAAGCTTTCTTAAACAAATGGGAACTTTTGAGGAATTCATGTGGTTTTGCTTAATGGTGTGCTTATATTTGCATAATGTGGTTAGTTTCATTAGGGAACAGAAGACATGGGTTTTTGGCCTGTAGGAGCATATGACCTTCTACAAACGGTATGTCATAGCCTACTCGTAATACTACATTTCTCATTTTCTCTGTTTCGTAGTGACTTCCCCATCTGTGTCTATCACTCCCCCACAGAAACAGTCCCCACATTTTTCCCACCATACTGCCTTTTCTCAGTTGTCATTCCTCATGATATTTAAATTACTGAAGCACTTAATTTCCCTCTCTTTTTGACATTTGCGTGACACAGTGTTAGATTATGTTGTATGGGAGCACTAAATGTGGAAGAAGACAAATTTAGCAGTTTGTTGTAATATCACAAACAATGTCTCAGTGGGATGTACAGACTCACAGGAGTTAAGATTCCTGACCAGGGCAAAGCTCTTTAAGGAGATAAAAATGAAAAAAACTCCCCCAAAAAACTTCAGCACAGGAGGGAAAACATGAAAGAAACCTCAGAAGATGATATTTAAAGAGAGATCCCCCTGTAGGTGGAAAAGTGGAAATGAGACAAAGTTGTAACAAAGAATGAATATGTGATACCTAATAGCTTGCTAGCAAATATCATTTTATGGACAGTGTCAGGCAGGGTGCCCGGTGGAGTCGGCTGGGGATTTGAGTTTATTAATTAATTAATTCCAGTATAAGAAAGTAAGTAAGTAAGTACACAATAAGTATAAATGGTAATAATTACTTTTCTCATTGTATTTTACTTGTAGCCTATCAAGCATTAAAATATAGTAAGAACGCAAATCAAATATGCATTAAATATATTATACAAGAACCAAATTGTATATGAACTACCATAGTCATGCATTAACAGTATTGACATATTATTATTATTGTGGTAGGTTATTAACAGAGGTGTGGACTGGGAGTGATGACCTTTGTTGCATGTCAAAATAAAAATAGTGCTGTATGCTATGAAAGTGCAATGTATGCACTACTTGTTCATGATTCATTTCAGTCAGCCTTGTTTTAACAATTAAGTCCAAATTATAAAAAGCATGTAATATTTTATTACTCTTGTTACATTTGGTGAAGAGTGCATTATTACTTGTTTTGGACTCGAAACTCTAAGTTTAGAAATTGGGACTTGAGTCAGGACTTAAATGCAAAGCCTAGAGGCTTACTTGTGACTTGCAAAACAATGACTTGCTCCCACCTCTAGCTAGTATTATTCTGCATGGGACAAAACTGACTCGCTCATATCCTGCTCTATTGGATCAATTACAGGCAAATTTTTATTTTCAGGATTGATCCTTTATTCTCGATGTTATTGTTACATGAGGTTTTATTTTCAGGAGTGAATAATGCACCCTCTCCTTTTACCTTTTGAGTAACAATATGCTTTTTAAAAATTATCTATTTACAATTTATAAAAAATTACATAAACCAAAATGAAAATAACATTTAATCAGGAGTGAAAGGATGGGGAAGGATATAGTTATTGCCATTTTGCTCCAAATTTTAACTGCATGTGTTTTTTTTCCGTTTAAACACGTGACAAATGAGGTTAACCATGTAGCCTGAGAATGAGTGTTTAAACTCAGTGTTTGAAAGTATTATTTGTCCGGTTCTCATAAAAAATAACATATTTTTTACTTAATTTATTTACTGACAAACATATATATAATATATAACGTATTGAATCATTTGGAGCATGGTCTCAAACTTAAAACACTGTGACACTATTCAGCAACAACCGGGCAGGCAGGATGCCGGTTTATTCCTAAGAAGATGTTTATTTATTGCTCCTTAACCAGAGTTAATTTTGTGAAAAAGAGGAACTTCCAGTCAACACTTCTCTTCATAGAGATAGAGAGATAGAGTTCCTGCTTAGAGCCACTTTGCAGTGTTTTTGGACCATTCATTTTACCTCTGATTACTATATTGCCATCACAGTCTAGTTCATAACTAATCAAGGATGTATGGACGTGCAAGAACGTTATTACGTTCAACAAAAATATATTTTAAGAAATACACAACCACAGGCAGTAAGGGGCAGTAAACATGAACAATCCACTTACAGTATTCACATCAAGAGATTTATGTACACAGAACTGAGACAATCAGCTGCAGAGTGATAATCCTTTACCTTTCTCCACACATGAATTTAGTCCACATATACAGATTGCACTGGAATGTAGGCCTACAGGTACTATGCATGTACATGTGATAAATGATGATGAAGCTATATGGTGCCCTGATAGCTCACCGGGTGAAGCGGACAGTCCTTGCTGCAGAGGCTATGGGCTTGACTCTGACCTGTGGCCCTTTGCTGCCTGTCATGCCCTCTATCCCCCTTACTGTCATTTGTCAGCAGTCAGTATCAGTTAAAGGAAATAAAATCCCCCCAAAATATTGGGGGGAAAAAAGAAGCTATATGGACATTCTGATCAAGAACTAGAAAAGCTGTAGATGTTCACTTGACAACTGTTTTAAGACACGTTTAGCTTACTCAGCAGCACAATTAACTGCTAGTCGAACGTTTGTGATGACTGTCATTTCCCGGCCTATGTCTGTCTTTATATAACTTTGCACTTCCCTTTCAGTAACAGCCACAAACATTCCCTTGACATTTCTCTGTTTGTGAACTGTGTGCATCTGACCAGCTGATTGTTTTGATCAGCATGGAGCATTTGAGTGATTACCATAAATCCCAGTGTAAACTGTCCTGTAGGAGGTCAAGAGCGTATGGATCGCCACCTGATGCAGGGGGGAAAGTCCTCAGTAATAACATCAATTGTACCGTAACACTGGTGATACATTTATGACTCTGTATCTCACAGTAAAGCCCAAAGGTACAGCTGGTGCATCACCAGGAACAAACTTGTAAACTTAAGATGCATTTATTTATCTTTGCATTTACAGCCTAACTCTTATCAGCAACCTCACTCACTGCATGCCGTCTGCATTAATCCAAACACTGATTATCAACACAAAATCTACTTTTTAGTCTAAAAGTTTCTTTAAGTGGATAAGTGAAAACTTTGACCTGGCCAACTTTGTCCTCTCTAGAGCCATGCTGCTAGTGTGGCTAAAAGGTATTAGATTACACCAGATTGTTTTTTTCAGATCTGTGTTAAATTAATCTTTATAGACGATAAACTCATTCTCACTGAGGTCAATTGAAGTGCACCGTTTTCTTGATCAACATGACCTAGGTTAAGGTGTGACAAAACAGCGTCTACTTCTGTGAAAGCTTTCCACAGGATTTCAGAACCTGGCTGCAGGTACGTGTTCCCACAACAGCCTTTAAAGTTAAAGATGCTTTTTAGCAGTGCATTCACTTCATGTTAATTTTTTTAAGAAAAAGCAAGTATATCTCCAGGCTTAGTGAGGTCTCAAAGTCTGCCTTCACCAGTCAAATTTGTCCACACCAAACTGAGAAAACCCTTTCTTTATGGACCTCTCAAGTTCAAAAGGTCTTACCTAAACTGTTGCCAGGCAAACTATTGCCTAGAACTCTGGTTCTCAAACTATGGTATGAGTACCACTGGTAGTACGCAAGCTGCCGCTAGTGGTACACACGGAAACCTCTTAAATATTTAAAGAAATAAACTAATTAAGAACATATAATACTGTCAAAATACTACAAAATTTCGAATAAAAATACATAAACTATGTGTTCGCTGAAATGTAATTTAAAATACGTTTCCTGTAATATTTGGTTTCAATATCTGCCTGCTACAAAGTCACGTTGATGGTACATGCATGGATCCATGAGCCATAAGTGATGGCGAGATAGTAAGCGGAGGTAAAATGAATGGTTCAAAAACACTGCAATCATGGCTCCAAACAGGGACAATAGACAATGCGGTTGCACATGTTGGCTCACTGGAAAGACCCTGCTATACTAAATGGAACTGAACCTTAATTAGTATCATCTGTAACACCTGTGTTTACCCTGCTGTGAACCAGGTCAACAACAGTCAACAATAAATAATGTCCTTATTAGGAATAAACCGGCCTCCTGCGTAAACGGGTTGTACTTGGAGAGCATTCTACTGTTGGGTTGGTACATGGTGTAAAACGTTAGAGAAAACAATGGCCTAGAGTATCAATGTGTGTTGTGGCATCAAGAATGACTTTCCCTTCACACATGGGGGAATTCCCAGACAGAAGAGCCGTTCTTATTTGACAGGTAGATACCACGTGGTTGTGCCAGAATTGCGCCAGGTATATAACCCTAAAGCACTGACGATGGGAGCTTTTTTTAGATTGATGATGAAACACACAACTGCTGACAAAGGCTCCTTCTCGTCCCATCATGTCTCAACCACTGGAGTGCGCGCACACACACACGCACGCACATCTGTCTCTCTTATAAACTTCCTATAATAAAGTCAAATGAGTCAATCAAGTATCTAATATGTTTTAATTTATAATCTCCATTGTGCCACTTTTGCCAGCCTCGTTGGGGCTCAACGTGGAGAGGGAAAGGTGAACGTTGGTTTGACAATGTGTCGGAATGTAGTGAGGATGGAGGAACCCTTTCGTTTTCCACCGCACACGCTGTCTTTCAGGGCGCACTTGCGCAACAGCAGGGAGAGCGGCGGAAAGTCTGTGCGTCTCGTTTCTCACCTCTTGTACATGCAGCGAAGGAGGGGGGTGTGTGTGAGGAGGCGAGAGGGAAATCCATGACTTCCGCGTTTTTCCTCCCTGTGTGAAACTCAGTGTATAGCTATAAAAGCATTTATAGTCTCGACATTCAACTAGAGGCGCGGACTGGGCTGTGCGACAACAACAGCTGGACTATCTTGTGGAGCTAAAACACCTGGAGCTGTACAACTTCCAAAACTTGCATTGGCACCCCCAAAGCCTTCAGTCTGCGGAACCTAAACAGTGGACACTCTTTCCGAAGCTCAGGCACCCTACTATCGCATGATGGGACAACAAAATACAGAAATTGACATTGAGTCTCTTCAGAAGAGCGGCCGTCGGCGTGGAGGCTGCCTGGACGTTTTTGTCGTCCTGTCCATCATCTTTCTGTTTGTGGCGGTGGCAGCTGTGGCTGTCGGCGGACTGATGGTTGTGATGGAGCTGCGGTCCAAACTGGAGACTGCGCGTCCGTACATTAATGTTGAGGCATTAAAGCAGACAGGAGACACAACTGAGCCATCATACAAGGTAAACAAACATTACTCCTGTTATTAAAGTATGAATGATAAGCAATGTTCTCTTTCCTTTCCAACTTTGAGCCACGTCCTCTGCACTTTAATTCACTCCATCTTTTCTGTTTTGTCAACAGATACAGAACTTTGTCTATCTGGAACCCAACTCAAGTAAGTCTACTTGTATTTGCTAAATGCAGCTATACAACATAAATGTTTAGGAACAGAGTCACAAAAACAGATGATAATAGCGTCTTCCTTTAGTCGTTAGTCCTTTTCCCTCTCTATTTCCAAACTTCAAACTTCAAATTTGAATCATTTAAATCACTAAAATGACGTAAAAAACACCATATGGTTTTTATGTGTAACAAATCACTTCAGATTTTAGGCAAGACAACACCAGACAGGAATGTAACTGATATGCTTGTTGTGCTGTATAAACATCATCTAAATGACATGTGTTTGTCTCCTCCTGCAGGCAGGTTACAGACCTCCACGATGCAATGGGATCCAGTCACATATGGTCAAGGATCGTCTGTAGGAAGCAACTTCATATTTGACAAGGCACAGAGTTCTCTGCAGCCTAAACAGTTGGGATACTACTTCATATACATTGATCTCAACCTCACCTGCACCTACGACTGCCCCGCAGGCCTCCTCACAGTGAGTGTGGGCGATAAGCTCACCTGCAAGGTGCAGCTTCCGGCTGTGGCAAATTCAATACCTGTGACCAAGAAGTGCTGGACAGTGACCCAGATAAACGACAGCCAGAGACTGGTCACTCAGATGACCGTACCGAACAATGGGCTGAAATACTGGAAACTGGAGCTGAGTGGCTCAGCATTTGGGATGTTCCTTGTGGACTAATGTGGACCCTGTGGTGCTACTACAGTCATCAAGATGCAGATCTGTCTGTGACCTGTGGGTCGTCACTAAAGAACAACACCAGTTTGTGTTTTCTTAAGGGTCCTGTTAGGTGAAAATGGGCAGGCGCAGGTGCCATTTTCGAAGCTATGACGTAGTTTATTGCAAACTAAAGGTGTAAGATGATGAACCTCAACAGGAATTTAAGTTGGAATCTGAAGAGAAGTTGTATTTATGACAATGCAAACGGCATATGGAGAAAGACTACACATTCACCTCATTCTGTATAAATATGTATATATGTTATTCTGTATATGATATATTTATTTGGTGATGGAACTATTTATATACCTATATTTATAATGGTGTTGTTATTTTTTTTCTAGAGACCTTTTTTTTAATGTAGATATCACTACATTAGTGTTAAAGTGCAATACACTGCAAGTTAATCGGCCTGTATTGGGTGACTCTATAGCTCTGTTTTATAAATGGCTGGGTGCATAAAAAGTTGAGGCTTACAAAAAAGTGTGATTATAATTCTGCTCCAAAACTCCAACGAGCCCTGCAAGTGGAGTCCTTGAATCTCTTCTGGCAAATGATGAGTAATAGTGATGAGTAATAATATGCACTTAAAATAACTTTTACAGAAACAATGTCTGATAAAAAATTATTCTGTAACCAAAACATGACCAGAATTACTAAAATATCTGTAGTATGTGGACTATGTGTGAATTGAAAAATTGTTTTATTTTTAAAAGTATGTAAGTCCTGTGGACAAACTACACTTGTTGAATGTATTTCATTGTAATCCATATTAAACATGGATATGGTGAACACAAAGATGATTTTCGTGTGAAAATTATGAGTGTGAGAGTTTCAAGTGGAATATGTACAAAGCTTGTATGTAAAGGAAAGTTCCCTGCTGTTTCACAGCAAATACCGGGAACTGACTGTACATCACTTCCTGTTTATTTACCATACGCTGTGGTTAAGAAGAAGAAGAAAAGAAATCTGTGGGCCAGCAAACAAACACATTTGCACCTCCTGTGTATTATGGTGCAGATGTTGAGTGAAAACACATATTACCTCCTTTTATAATATGAATTATGGCAAATTATTGATTCCCCAAATAGACTCAGTACAATTTATTGTTTAGATGTATTTAGATGCCTTAAAGCAGCAATAATCTATATATTTAATGTCTCAAATGGCAGTGTGAAAGGATTCACTGATAACCAACAGAGAACTCAAGCCCCTCGGCTTTACGGAGCTCTATAGCGAGTTTCAACTCATTGTTTAGTTGTTCAGTTTGCAACTTTACTGTTTTGATTTACTCTCACTATCTTAATAATAATAATAATAATAATAATAATAATAATAATAATAATAATAACCAATTGTTTGTGAACACTATTGCCATACAACTCAAAAGGTGACATTATAAGACAGTATTGTTTTCACAGCTTGTTTCCACTGCCCCCAAGTGGTCAGAAAATCAGCTGTTGCAGGTTTAAAGGTGCAAATTAGTAAACGTGGATGTAAACAATGTACGATTTGAAATACTTTATACTTTGCAAATGTTTTATGAGGAAGGAATTGCACTCGACCCATATATTTGACCACAAGGACATACACAGTACACTTAATGTAAACATATCTTTTAATTGTTAACAAGAAACCTCCACAATGCACCCTGTAAAGGTGCATTTACAAATTTAAAGGTGCATAAAACATTTGCAAGCTATGTATTTAAAATCCTGTTTACATCCATGTTTGCTTGCAGTCTTCTTCTTTTGTGCCTTTTTTGGCACATTGTTGCTTCCTGTGTGCGTTGTTGCCTTCTTTTGATCGAGTCAAACAAAACAGGGACCCAATCATCGAAAAACAACTCCATTGGACTTTTAGGTATCACCAGCAAAAGTACTCATTATGCAGAATGCCCCTTTTCAGAGGGGTATGTTGTTTAAGCAGCCTTTTAATACTATATAATACATCTTGCTCATGTTGAAGCTAATTTTAACTATCATTAAACACTGTTGGGTAGTTTAATCTAGAACAATGCATCATATTTCATAGACTGAATACTTAATATATTTAAAATCTTCATCTTCAAAGCAACTAATAACTACAGTTGTCAAATCATATAAAAATACAATGTTTGCTTCTAAAATGTATCGTGGACTAGAAGTATAAAGTGGGACAAGATAGAAATAATCAAGTAAAGTTCAGCACTTGAGCACATATACTTACACTTATCCTAACATCATGAGGTGTTTTTATTTGCATAGCGACCGTGCTCAAGCTGCTAGAGTATAATCTTGTTATGTGTTTGTTTCACACAAGCACAGATGTTTATCTATGTCTCAGTCAGAGGAAATGACCCAAATAACTCTGCGTCTGAGGTCAGTCTTTCTATTCACCTACTGTGTTTCAGTGGTGATTTGGTTACCTGTATGTCTACCTGTCTACATGGTTTCCTGTGCCTTTACATCATTCCCATGCACCTGTTAGGCTTTGCTGAATGTCTTTTGCCACCATAATTCCTTGGCAGAATTCCCTAATTGGTTGCTGAACTCTCCTTTACTTAACATTTCTCATACGGCTTTTTTTCCATTTGACACTGCTGCAAGTTGCAGAACTTTCCCCTGTATGTGTTGAAAAGAGCTGAGTCAGCCACACCAACCTCAGCACCTCTCTTCCCTTCCATCCTCTACTCAGTGCATCCTTACTCAACCACATCCTGCTTTTCAAACACACACACACACACACATACATACACACCACACCACACACACAACACACACACACACACACACACACACCACAACACACACACACACACTGTCACATACCCTGCAGACATTTGTGTGTCTTGCAAATCTGCAACTGTGTTATGTGGGTTTCATATCTGTGCTTAAGGTATCCTCAGTTTGATGTGTGTTTGCATGGTTAAAATATATGAGCAGAGAAGAGATCTGTTTGAATTTCCTGTTCCACCACTGACTATGTACTAAAACATTTTTTCATTGATCTTATTACCTATCCGAGATATGATATCATGAGGAACTGATGTCACCTTGCATTTTTGTTTGATAAGAAACAGTATTTTATTCACACAACAACATTATGTAACAAATTGTAACAAACAAAAAAATAGGATTACATACTCTGAATATCAGATACTTTTGATATCACAACTATTTGTTGCTTTTTCATAAGTGATTCAAATACATTAATCAAGCACAGCATAATTTAGATTATATATATTTCATATTTTAGATATATACATTTCACCACAATATATGGTGTAAATTAACACTCAGAGACATAGAATCTGATCACAGTGTAGGACAGAGGAATTTCTATATGCATCTAAGGAGATATCATAAAGGCCCCCATCAAGTTCTCAGTATTTCCTGGACGCATCTTATGTATATCGTCCAAGGTGATATAAATTTCGTCTCCTTTCTGCAGATGGAAGATCCCAGCCAGGAAACTGTTCCACAGATCCTCCCCGCCTGACGACTTTGCAGTTGAAGGTTTCGGGGTCCGGCAGCGGAAACTGGAGGAAACATACCACAGATGACATAAGGCAAACTTGCCACAACATAATGAAGACAGCACCTAATCGCCTTTAAATACACAGAAGCAATGTGCAAAACAAACTGGTTGTACTCAAGTAGGCACCTGTAAGCACATTTGCAACAACAGAGGAAGGAAGTAAGGAGTGGCACAGTGACTAACCTTTTGGATTTCATAAGCTCTATAGGCTGATCATATGCCTTGGTGACTTTCATGACTTTGTGCTGCATAAGCACACACTCCTCTGCAGCGTTTAATGTCACTTTAGAGTAGAGGTAGTAGTTACCGTCCTTCTCAACCAACAACCGACCATTGTTATAGCCCATGTTGAAGGTGATACTTTCGCCACCTTTATCTACCCACTGCACCACATTGGTATCCTCCCCTGCAGGATGCCAGGAACCTGGAATAAAGATTAGAAAGAAGGAAAAAAAAGAGTTGTTGTGAACAAAAGAAAATGAAGGAGATCACTTCAAATGAACCATTAAGGTCAGACACAATATTTAGGTTTGAGAAATTGAGAGGACTCTAACCTATCAGTTGAGCAAAGGGCCTCTGTTGGACCTGTTCCAGATGTGGTCGCACTGTGGGAATCTCATTGGACTCTGTTCAATAAAGCAGTGTCAGATCAGTGAGTCAATCAGCCAACCAACCAATCAGTCAGTATAAAAACGTCACATTTTAAGTCACACGGTGACTGTGTGTGTTTTGAGTTATTTGTGGATTTTCTTCCCAGAAATGATGAGAACAGAGAATAACTTAATACCTTTGGTTCCCACTTGACTCATTATGGTGCCACCCTGAAACAGAAAAAAAGAGTTAAAGCCAAAACTCAACATACTTCAGACGTAACCCGTGACTCGATACCCAAAAAACATGCATACTGTACACCCATGCTTACCTGCAGGCCAGATGCTTTGGGATTGGACAGGTTCTGGAAGAAAGGATGAGACATATAGAGGGAAAAAGCCTGCAGGGAGAGGAAGAGAAAATATAGAACGACAAATGAAGATTGAACAACACGGGTGAAATCTGTGTCTTTTTGCAAGCACGATGTCAAAAGTTCAAGAGACATGTAGAAGAGTGGAAATGTGAAAATGTCCACTTATCCACAATAGATACAAACAAGTTATAACTTCCACACAACAAACTCATACACACAAAGAAAGGCATTTGATAACAACACAAACTCTGAGAAATTTTAAAAAGTTAAAATGTGTTTTTCCGTTATTAAATTTGCTGTAATAAAGGTTTAAAATTGATATTTAAATTGCTATAAACATAAAAAACAAAAAAATGTAACAAAATGTTACATGCCAGCTTTTCTTTGGTCTATTACTCTTTTTACTAGCTTTTGTTATTCTAATCAAAACATGGCATTGTACGTTACGTCTATTACGTAACATACGTACGTGTATAACACATGAGGCAGGTGTGTAATAAACAGCATTGTGAAACCGTCTCAGAAAAGTGAAGTTATATTGTGGGTTTGCAAGAGAGAAAAGAAAGGGAAGTAGAACTAGAGAAAGAGTCCATTTGACATGTTTGTCATCATGGAACTGCAATTTAAAGAGCAAATGTGTCTTGCTGCTCATGACGTAGCGCAAAGGAGGGAAATTCTAGAGAAAAAGAATTTCCCAGTGTTTCAAGGCTTTACCCTACACACACACACACACACACACACACACACAAGCCTCACCTCTGTTTTTTTATATAGATTGTAGATGAAACATCCCTCGACAACAAGTCCCAACATGGTGAGTCCCAACAGCAGGAGAAGAAACTTCTGGCCCACTCTCACCCACGTCACTTTCTTCCCACTGGGTATGGAGACGTAGTTTGCCTGGCTGTCCACCACAAACACCTGGGGGACTGTACCCACACTGCCCTCTGCCATCCCACCAGGTTGCATTACACCTGGCTTGTTAGGGCTGAAGGTCAAAGGGCTTGATGTAGCGAGGAAGGGGTACTGAAAGAGATAGGGGTAGGGTTAGGTAAAAGCAAAGAAAAAGAGAAAAGAAAGACAGAGAAGCAAAAGACAGGCAAGTAGTGGAGAGAGTAGAAAAAGTAAAGAAATAATAGACAGGAAGGCAGAAACGGACTGAGACAGAGACATGAGACATAAAGACAGCTGACACACAGACATGGTCTCAGGAGTTTTGTCTACTCTGGTTGCAGTAGGTACATGCAATGTAAGCTTCTGGGAAACAAAGTGATTTTCACTTATTGCAAAGAATAGGTCCAATTAGTCAGAAGAAATATTCTATTCTGACATTTTGTTGAAAGTATTACAGAAAGAGATTACCTTAGATTTATACAAGCACCAGATGTTCCTGCCACAGCTCAGTCAACCATCCAGCAGCACAGGGCGGTTTTCACACCTGTGAATCTTCTACGGGACATTGAATGAAAAAAAAAGTTCTTCAACAATATTTTTAAAAAAGTATTAAATAACATTAATAGCATTATCTGAGATGTCACTACGTATTATGACTTCTCTTGATGTCTCACCCTGTGTGAAAAGAAAATCCTCCGTCTGCACCAACAGATTTATATCCTCCCTCACCTCTTGCGTCCGCTCGCCTGCTGTCAGCTATCACTAATATTGCTCTTTGAGCAAGCTCAAGTAAGGAGGAAATGATAATGACATGGGCAAGAGGCAAAGAGACTTAAAGAGAGAGTGAGTAGTGTGCATGTGAGTGTGTGCGTGGGACACTCCCTACAACTACTGAATATAGCCTAGTTATCGTCCCTCAGCTGACACTTCCTTTTCTCTCTCTTCAATTTCTCACTCTGAGTGTCTCATGTCCTGTTGAACACTTTTGGTTTGTTTTCTCTGTGTCTGCAAGTATTTCTTTGGGCAATTTCTGAGAAACTTGCACAATCTCTATGTCTAGTTGTGGCGTGTGTTTGGCACAATATTATTCGTATTGAACCATGCAGTCAGACATTAAACACGGTCACAGAAAGTGGCTGTGTAGGACGGATTTTGGGGTCAAGCTGTTAAATTCACACACTTTCTTTTGACCTCTACCACAGTTTTACTCACAGTCTAATTCATCTGCACATTAATGCAGCAGAGAAATATTCTCACCCCGAGGCTGCTGCTTTCTCACATATTTGCCAATATAAACATTTTAGCTGATTCACAATCTTGCTTTTATTTCAACTTCATGAACTCTGTGTTTGACAACCTGCAGTGATTGAAGTTGACTAATGCATTGCAGAGGATTGGAGACTGTAAAGGAAACTGCAGCTCATTGCAAGACCTACTATGATGTTGCAACACTAGCTTGTTTACGGTCACTGCTTTGTTCAAGAGTTGCTTCACTTTATGTATTGTTGTCTTCTTCCTTTTTTTCATCATGGTTTCTATTATGGATGATTCATCAATACTTTTGCGTACAATGTGCTTTTCTCTGATTGTTTATGCTTGTAACATCCCACCGATGTAATTTATGTGTGTTTTGACAGTTGAACACAATAGAAGATATAGAAAGCCAATGTTAGATGTTCTTGTTTGTTGCTTCTATTTCTTCACATACCTCTGAACCAAGTCTTCTGAGAAACACTTTCGTTTTCCTCTTAATGAAGCTTTCGTCTTTTCTCTGCTGTGTTAACTGTAATGACTATCCAATTTTAGTTACAAAAAGAGATGATCCATGCTTTTATAGAGTGAAACTCAAACTGAAAGTAATTCGAACCCAGTGTGGGTTTCTTCGTTTGTTGTAGGAGGGGGCAGTTTGTAATGACAAACTCCATATGTTGAACCTACACTATACAGTTTGACTTTCTTGCCACCCACTCACTCACCCACCCTCTCTCTCTCTCTCTCTATC